AGAAAAAAACCGCTCCGAGAGATGCCTTTCTCACCCCGCCGATTCAGGCGGGTAGTATAGACCAGGCCTAAGTCTCAAAGGTGCCACAGGACCCTCTGTTGCTTTTTACAGATTCAGACTAACACGGCTACCCCTCTGATACTTCATCTATATTGGTCACCTGTCGTTGAAAAATAAACATGAAGAACAGCGTGAGAGTCACGCCGCCAGTTAGCAGGTCCCCATCACCCGCTCCTGCAGCTGTTCCCCTGGCGCAGGGAATCGCCGTGCCCGTGACACAACGGCAGTGCAACTCACACCAACCTCTGCAGCACAGTTTGCAGGGACGCGGTGCTGGTGAAGCCCCGCAAACGTGCGCTGGGATTGCAACACGTCCAAGCGGCTGACAGCGAAGCGCAGTGAACTGAACTCACCCCGGCTCCCGCAGGGGACTCCTCCCCGCTGCCTAACCTGCACAGCGCCGCCGGATTGCAGCGTGCCAACCCCCCCGGCTCCCCGCAGCTCCGCCGGTTTCCTCTCCCCAGGCAACCACACTCAAGATGTCTACAGGGCTGCTCCAGCACGCCCGCTACACGTGTGCACGGACTGGCTGGCTCGCCTCACAGGCAGCTGGATTAAGGCGGCGCCACGGGACCAAACTTCACCCGAAATCGGCCAGTTTAACGTCCCCGAGACAAAGTACCAAGCCCCAGCCGCAGAGAGAGAAACGCAAGTAGCACCACGTGGCTGCTAACGGTAATTTCGGCCGGGTTTGGAAAATGAAACCAGAGCGAGTCCGGCTTGCCCCTGGGAGTTGCGTTTGCACGGTTACACAACGCGCTCCGTTTCTTAATGTGGAGCAGCCCCGTGGAAAGCGCGCTGAGCTCGGTGCCGGGTTTGCACATCTCCCCCAGGGGCTTTCTCCCCCGGCGTCCCGTGCCCATGGTGCGCACGGACTGGCCGGCCTCCTGACAGACAGCTGGGCTAAGGCGGCACCACAGGACCCAAGCTCACCCGGAAATGGCCACTGTAGTGCCCCTGATACAAAGGACCAGCCGGAGAGAGAAAACCGTAAGTAGCACCACGTGGCTGCTTAACGGTAATTTGTGCTGAGTTGGGAGCATGAAACGAGACAATGATCCTGCCTCATCCAGAGGAGCTGCGCTTGCATTTCAATTTCGTGGCTCAACTAAGTAATTTAGTGGAAAGACCAGAAATGGGGTAGGATTTTCATGGAGTTTCTCCGCCAACACCGTGCAAATCGTACTATGACCAGAGGGCAACTGCAACAAAGTCTCTTGTGTATTAAAGAAAGACAAAAATAAAGAGGGAGGGACAAAAAGGGATTTCCCCCCCCCCCTTCCAGCTTGGTGGAACGATGCACAGTACTTAGCACATGTAACTCTATCTCCACTCTTCTTGAGAGTGGAGCAAAAAACCACCGTAGTCCTTTCTCTTTTAGAAAAGTTGTGGTGCTATTGTTTTAGTAGAGAGAGGCTGTGTGATACACAGCTGTGAGACTACAGAGCTAAAAAATACTACCATTAGCAGACTACTTCACAGAGTAGAACCAGAGTTACCCTGGGGGAAGGGAATGAACTGCTGTCACCATTACTGAAGATAAGAGTAGGAGACTGACCTTTTCAGGTGCAAGACAAAGACTGCTACTTCAGCAACTTTGGAAGAGGCTTCGAAGGGAGGTTGTGGAATCCTAGTCATTGGAGGTTTCTAAGAACAGGTTGGACAATCACCTGTCAGGGACACTCCAGGTCAGTGGTTCTCAAACTTTTGTACTGGTGACCCCTTTCACATAGCAAGCCTCTGAGTGCAAACCCCCTTATAAATTAAAAACACTTTTTAATATATTTAACACCATTATAAATGCTGGAGGCAAAGCAGGGTTTGGAGTGGAGGCTAACAGCTTGCGACCCGCCCCATGTAATAACCTCACAACCCCCAGAGGTGTCCTGACCCCCAGTTTGAGAACCCCTGGTCTATGTGAACTAAATCCTCTCTTAGCACAAGAGGCTGGACTAGATGACCTACATTGTATTTCTTCCTAAGATCACTGGTATCAATGACAAGCCTATCCGAGCAAGAAAAGGACCAGAAATGGGGGATTTGGACTTTCTTCCTGTCCCAGATTCCGAAAGAGCAAACTAAGCTGAGGAGTCAAGATGTAAATATGCCAGCTTGTGCAAAGAAATATGGGTCAAGATTTGAAAAAGTGACTTGATTTTTGGGTGCCTTGGGTTGGGTGTCCCATCTTGAGACACCTGAAAAGGGCCCAGTTTTCAGAGAGTAGATGCTCAGCACTTCCTTAAAATTGTGCCCCTTTCAGGTGTCTGAAGTTGGGCACTCAAAAATCTAGGCACCTATAATAGTCACATTTGAAAATCTAGACCGTATCTCTTTAAGTCACCCAGGTACTGGTGAAATATTACATTTTGTGCTTGCTATTTAATTGTAAAAGGGACTGTAACTCTGTACAACTAAAAGTTTGAATTGGGCTTTAAACAACAGGGCTGCAAATGTTGCAATTCAAAATAAAAGACTGAATTTAAGAGTTGCACACGTTAGTGGATAAATCTGTTAATTTCTGGACAAGAGAGACATGCTTGGAGAAAAAATATTATTAAGAGATGTAGGGGACAGTATGACTCGTAGGCCATGCTGTTGAGAGCTTTGGTATTAATGGGGGACGTTCGGTTACCTGAATTTTGAGAGGTTCCCCCTGGATTGTTCAGAGATCTTTGTTCTGAACTCACTGTTATAACTTCACCTAAGGGAGAGTCATCAGTGTGGTAACAGGCACAACTGTGCTTTGAACGATGACCTCTGACTGATGCAAGGAAACTGATGGTATAAAGTGTAAAGCAAAGGAGTGTGTGAGGAGTGGTTGTTAATGTTATGCTGTTTACTTTCCCAGTGATCATCCATCTGTGTTTGTAAGGAATATGGGAAAGAACTTTTAAAGTGTTTAGGATCCCATCAGAATTAATATGTTTCTCCAAAAGCAGTTGTCTAATAAAGCTCTTACTTAATTCTGCTTTCTTCTGTGTCTTGCTCTCCTGAAATTTGAATAAATCTGGACTAATGGGAGTGGAGAGGCAGGTCACAAACAAAAGTGAAGCATGCTGCTTTAAAACTCTCAAGCAAGCAATTTTGAGTTTTGGGGAACTTCCTATAGTGGTTAGTATGCTTGGAATAGAGGTTGCATGTCACACAAAGTATAATCTAGAATGTGGAAGGCATTTGTTTTTAATACACTTTGGAGCAGAAGTCTGGATGACCCAAAGAGGATGTAGCTGAGAATTTATAAAGTTTAAAGAGAAAATTAACTAAAACCTGAAATACCCGTAATATTCTGTAGGATTCTGTATGTTGTTTTAGGAGATAGCACTAACAGCATAACCCATATTTTAGGGATAGCAATGTGATTTCATGACCTAATTTGCATATTCTAGAACAATCTTGTTTCCCTCTGTTTAAGGAAAGTCTACTCAAGAGCTTGTCACATTAAGATTGAACGAACATATCCCAGTGCCTTGATTAACTGCATTAGCTGTATATTTCTGATGAGGTTGCCTTTGATTGTGGTCTGTCTTCTGTAGCAGCTTGCTTCTTGGTGTGGGATCTCATATTAATAGAGTACTTGATATAATCGGAGACTACTCTTACCTGTATGTAGCCACAGGGAAAAGTCTCCAGGACCAAAGGAATGTATTGGAAGTGCAGTAATAATACCAAGCTCTTATATAGCACTTTTCATCAGTAGATTGCCAACCCTTCACAAGTGAGCTCAGTATCATCATCCACATTTTTCAGGGTACTGTCAGCCAGCAGCTGAGCCGAGGTCTCTCCTGAGCCCCAGGCCACTCTTTTAGTCACTAGGCCATACTTTTTCTGTACTCAAGAATAAAACTCTCTTCTGGACCTGGGTTAGGTTCTGCAGCCAATCTGCATCCAAGGTGATTGAGGTTTCTGTTGAATGCAGCTTTTAATTTTTAACATCCGCTACAGTAAATAGTAAAATAACATGTGCAGTAAAAACGTGCACATTGCAAGATTTTTGAATTAATCTGATTTAAAAATATATGTATAAATGTGACAGCTTCATATCAACATTCATTTTGGTTGAATTACAAGAGAGAATATGTTTCCAAGCTGTTCCCCTTTGTCTTGAGGATGTACTTGATTGTCTGCAAGACACTGCCATTAATAATTATAACTGTATCTTAAAAAGTAAACTGATGATTCCTAAATTATTTTCTTTTCAGGACTGGTCTGGGAGCCTTATTATTGCCTCTTTAGCTGGAGCTTTTGGGTCTTCATTTCTTTATGGTTACAATCTCTCTGTAGTGAATGCACCAACAGTGGTAAGTGACTGAAAGCTTTTAAAATCTAATTCCAGTAGAGGGTGATGTTGTCCAAAAATTACACAAACTATTTGAAATACTTGTTTGTAAGACTTTTTGTATAGTGGGAGAGAAAAGAGATATAATAACTTCTGTAAGACTTTTGTTCTCTATAACTAGATTTTTGTAATCTTTTGTTTGTTTCTTTCTCCCATAAAGTCACAGTGTAGTTCAAATGTTTGTCATGAAAACTAAGTGTTCCTTTTGAAATCCGTAGTTTCATTTCATATGAGTTTGTTCTGTGTGGTAAAATAATTCCAGTAGCATGCTTTTAAGTACTAAGTATACACAGCTATATACCTACTTTTGATCACATTGTTCTGTTCTTAAGAATTGTAGAGCATTCTGTTCTCACAGTTAGATAATAGAATTTGTTCTTGCTCTTCCTTCTACTGGGGCCATTCTATTGCATTTCATACTGTACCTTGTTTATGGTCCATGTAGTGAAACTGCTATGTTGGCCATTTACCAACTGCTACAGTAAGTTCTGCTGATGGAATATATGATAAGAATGGAATATTATGAAATGATCTATAGTATTTTTTGGAATTTTATTCTGAATACTATTACAAATTAAGGTTTAAATGCTTTGTTCAAAGTGCACTCATCATTAATTGGTCTATACGCTTATTTTTTTTCTATCACAAAATAAGAATTAGGGAACAGTGAATGAAATTGAAAGTGACAAATTTTAAAGACCTTTTGTATAATTTATAATTAACCAGTGGAATTCATTGCCAGAAGAGATCGTTGACACCAGTGGTTCCAGGTCTTACTGGAATTAATGGACTTTTCCCGCTTAATTCAGTGGGGCCTGGTTTTTACCCCAGAGCTTAATCAGATTCAGCGGATATGATATTTACATGTATAATGAGAATGTTCTCTGTTACTGGATAGGGTAATAAATTGAAAGAATATAGATCCTCATGCTTCACAGCATAAGCAAATCATTAACCCATAAGGTTAGGAAGAAACTTGTACCATAGGAAAGCTTTTTCCATAAGTTTCTAGGAAACTTCCTCCGAAGCAGCAAGTACTGGCCACTGTCAGAAACAGGACTAGATAGACCATGTCTGATCAGTTATGATCTATGGGCATGGCTACACTTGCAGATGTAGAGCGCTTTGAGTTAAACCAGCCTTCATAGAGCGCAGTAGGGAAAGCGCTGCAGTCTGTCCACACTGATCACTGCCAGTGCACTGGCATGGCCACATTAGCAGCTCTTGCAATAGCCACAGAGAGCAGTGCTTTGTGGTAGCTATCCCAGCATGCAAGTGGCTGCAATGTACTTTTCAAATGGGGGGTGGGTGGGGTGTGACAGGGAGTGTATTGTATGTATGTGGAGGGAGAGTGAGTGGGTTTTTGGGGGGCTGAGAGCATGTCAGCATACTGTCTTGTAAGTTCAGACAGTAGCAGACCTCCCCCTCTCCCCCCCGCCTCTCTCTCTCTCACACACAGCATTCCACAGTAATGGTTGCTTTGTCTCACAGCAGATAAGCATGCCGGCTGTCAAATGGGGCTTT